AGAGACTTCAGAGGTTCCAGAGCGGTCTCATGACTCAGCCCTTGTTCCCTACAGGGAGGTACCCACCACCTCCCCATAGAGACTCGCAATTTCCCTCTGTGGGCCCGACTCCCTAGGTGGGGGGAGGGGAAGGAGGGACCATTGCTCAGAGCTTTCTGGGATCTAGATGAAAGGCGAGGGGCAGGGTCTGCCTTCTCCCACTTGAGCCTGACTCCCCCTCCCCCAGCCTGAGCCCCAACAATTCCCTCAGCCATGACCTCCCCACTTGCCACCTACCTCACTTCCCTCTACAAGGCCTGACTCCATGTGAGGGGGAAGAGGTGAATCTTCGGAGACCCTGGAGGCCTGTGGTTCCCCTGAGATCTCTCCCTGACTCCCAGTCCCCCTGGGACACAAGCCTGTCCTTAGGTCTATGGGGGGTCATTAGATCTTCTGAGAGACTCAGACATCCTGGGGTGGTCTGTCTCCATCTGAGCAAAGAGGACATATGTGTGCAGAGCTGGGGTCCCAGAAGGTGCTGGGAAGGAGAACAGGAGAGGTGGGAAGCCTTGGCTGACCCTGGAGTTCCCACCTCACTGGGACTTCTGCATCTGCCTGGGGTCCCCACACTAAGACCCTCTCACTGTCCACCTGAGACACCTTCTGGCAACAGAGGGGTGAACAGGGATAAGGTTGTGCTAAGGGAAAAATACTTTCTAAGTGACCATCTCTACAGCCACCTCACTCCCCTTTCAGCCCATGATTGTGCTAAAGACTGGACCCTGAGCTGACAAGCAGAAAGACAGGGTGAGGGGCTGCTCACCTGAGACCAGGAGCTCCAGGGCATCGCTGGGGTGTGAGCACACCTGGGGGCTGTTCCTGTAACAGCCATAGCATCTGAATGTCCACCTGTGGCTGGGGGTCACGGGGCCCACAGAGAACAGGGCCTGGGACTGCCCACTGGGCTGTGGCTCTGAGTCCTGGGTCCAGGAGAGCCTGTGATCTCCTTCCTTAGTCAGAATGAACCTGTCAAATCCCTGCCCTGAGCCACACTGGAGGGTCACGTTCCCTCCTGAGGTCACCACAGGGCTGGGCAGGGCTGAGAGGCTGGGTTTGCTGTAAGATCCTAGGAGAGGAGGAGGCAGCGTGTTAAATGGGCTCACACCTCCCTCATGTCCCCCAGGGCTGGGCTGTGAGAGGGAGACACCCTGAGAGCAGACCCCCTTCCTGAGGGCAGAGCCTGAGGCTGGGACCCCTGAGTGTCCTCTCACCTGTCACCACCAGCTCCAGGAAGTCACTGTGCCCTGACCAGCCAGTGGGGCTGAGGTAGTAACAGTGATATATCCCTGCATCACGCTCTGTCATGCGTCTGATGAAGAACTTGGCCTTGTCCCCCGGCTCCTTTGGCTTCTGTTCTTTCCATGGTGCTGGGCTTCCCTCTTTACAAATTATGTACTCCTTAGCCTTTCGTGTTCCCTGACACCAGATGGTCATGGGACTCCCGCTGGGGATCACAGGGCCTGGCTCAGCCCAGAGGGTGGGTTTGGGGAGGGGCCCTGGAAAGAATCAGAGGCTGAGTCACAGGATATTCCCACCCCTGGTCCACAGGTCTCAGTCCCAGATGCCCCCCATCTGTCAGACAGATCTGCGCCCCTTCCCCTATTGCCTGGGGTGTGGCCCATGTCCCCATTGAGGAGTGGGACCGGGGACACCTGGGGAGACTCAGCTTCCTGAACTGGGGTCCTGAGGCCCACACTCAGCCCTGGAAGAGAGTCCCTGTGAGAGATTTGCCCTGAACTCTGAGCAGGTCCCTCCTCCCCATGAGCCTCCTGTGTCCTGGGGTCCTGACAGACCAGGGGCCCCCTCCCCCTCCTCTCTTCTCACTGAGGCAGAGCAGGGCCTTGAGGGTGGGCGTCATGGCATCTTCTCCCTGTGGCCTCAGCTGAGCAGATGGAGGAGACCGTGTGGCCAGCAGGATGGACAAACAGACACACAGGTGGTGGTCACTTGCATGCTGGCCCTGCCTTTCACGGGGTTGTCACACCAGCAGCCTATGTCACCAGTGGTGTAATATGAACACTGGTATAGTCCTATGTGGGGTGAGTTCTAAGCTTCAGTGAGGAAACAGGCCTTATTGTTGGAGTCCTGTGGGATCCTCATATGCAAGGGGTCAGAGCCCCTCTGTCTATACAGCAGGTAGACATTAGCGTGCAGAGACCAGTGACACCAGATGGTGACAGGACTCCCCTTGGTGACGATGGTGTCTCGGTCAGCCCAGATGGAAGGTTTGGAGACAATTCCAGGAAAGGAATCAGACATGAAAGACCTGGCAGCCTGTCTCCCCCTCATAATGTCCTGAATGAGTCAGTGACGCCATTTTATGAGCGCCTACTGTGTGTGAGACTCCTGCTGGGGTCTGTCACTCATCTCCTCTCACCTCATGCACCAGGGATGCTGACCCCACCACCCACTTCACTGAGTCTCAGAGAGGTTATCACGTGCCCCAGGTCACCCAGCCTGGACAGGGCAGGGCTGGGACTGGAACCCAGGACTGTGGGTTCCCTATGCTGTCCTCACGCTGCCCCCCTGGGGGACACCAGCTGCATGCTCTGGGCTCCTCCTCTGCAGGCGCCTGTCTATGTCTCCACTGGAGCTGAGGGTCCTTCTTCATTTCCCACCCCCAGCACAGCAGGGACAGGGAGGGCCAGTGTGGGCTGGACTCTGGGTCTCTCCCTCATCCATCCCCACCCACAGGGCCCTAAAACCCCCTTTGGAGGGTTGGGCTGGGCTGGGGGCTCTGCCTTCCTGAGCTCTGTGAGGCCCTTATGTCACCTCATCTCCCAGCAGCCTGTGAGCAGGATGGGACCAGGGATGAGCAGACAGGAACCCGACACTCAGAGGAGAGAACGGACCGCCCAGCCCCACAGCAGGAGCAGCAGAGCCAGGAGCTGAGCCCGGGCTGATCCACCCTGTTCCCTCCTCTGAGCTGAGCCTGAGCTGAGGGGTAGGACTGGGCGCCCAGACCCTTGTCTGCCTGTCCCTCCCTGTACAGTGTCACCGTCACTGAGACAGAGGGGACAGGCCCCATAACATCACGTCCTGGGGGGGTCCCTGTGAGGCCCCTTTCCCAAGAGGTCAGGGCCAGAACTGACAGGAACTCTAAGCTCTGGACAAGGATTCTCTCCTTTACACTTAGAGACACTAAAGGCCAGACAGGGGAAGGGGTGTCCAAGTCAACAAATCCAGAGGGGCCTGAACCCCTTAACCCCCCATGGTCCAGCCCCTGTCCCCATGGAGAAACCCACCACCTCCCCAAGGACTCTCACCTACCCCTCTGGGGGCCCGACTTAGAGCCTCCTGGGGATGAGGATGACAGGTGAGTGGTGGGGACTGCCTTCTCCCACTTAAGCCCAGCACCCGCTCCCCCAGCCTGCGCCCCCACATCTCCCTCTGCCATGATAACCCCACCCATCACTGCCTCAGACCCTGGGACTCCCCGCCCCCCTGGGACACAAGCCCGTCCTTGAGGATCTGGGTCACTCGAACCCCTGACAGACTCTCAGGACTTGCTGGGTGGGCTGTGCTCCCTCTGAGCAGAGCTCCCCGGGACTCACCAGCTGTGGAGGTGGGCCCTGTGGGTGGGGGGCTGGGGCCTTCAGAGGGTCCTGGAAATGAGGATAGAAAGGGGTGAGGCTGGGCTCACTCTGGAGTCTCCAAATCACTCTGTCGCTCATTCTACATCTGCTCTGTGACCCCCGAAGACACTCCCCCCGCCCACTTAACCACTTCCCAACCCAGTTCATGGGGAGGATTCAGCAAAAGTGAAAGGGTCTCTGAGGGCAGATCTCTGCTGGGTGACCAACACTCAGACCCTCACTCTCATCCAACCTCAGATGTCTCCTGGGGGCGGGACCCTGAGCTGCCTGTGCTCAGAGAGATTGGGATCAGGGGCCGCTGACCTGAGACCGTTAGATCCAGGGGGTCACTAGGGTCAGACCACTCATGGGGATTCTTCTCAAAATAGCCATAGCATCTGAATGTCCATCTGTGACTGGGGGTCACAGGGCCCACAGGGAACAGGGCCTGGGACCCCCCACTGGGCTGTCGCTGTGCGTCCAGGGTCCAGGAGAGCCTGTGATCTCCTTCCTTAGTCAGAATGAACCTGTCAAATTTATCCACTGAGTCACACTGGAGGGTCACATTCCCTCCTGAGGTCACGACAGGGCTGGGCAGGGCTGAGAGGCTGGGTTTGCTGTAGGATCCTAGGAGAGGAGGAGGCAGCATGTTAGATGGGGCTCACACCTCCCTTATGTCCTCCAGGGCTGGGCTGTATGAGGGAGACACCCTGAGAGCAGACCCCTTTCCTGAGGGCAGAGCCTGAAGCTGGGACCCCTGAGTGTCCTCTCACCTGTCACCACCAGCTCCAGGGAGTCACTGTGTTCTGACCAGCCAGTGGGGCTGAGGTAGTTACAGGTATATCTCTCTGTATACTTTCCTGTAATGAGGAACTTGACCCTCTCTCCAGGCTCCAGGGACTTCTGTCTGTTCAAGTACCTGCCACCTGCATACAGCCGGTACTCCTGAGCCTTCAGTGTCCCCTGACACCAGATGGTCACAGAGGTCCCCGAGTTTATCACAGGGTCTGGCTCAGCCCAGATGGTGGGTTTGGGGAGGGTCCCTAAAAGGAAACCAGAGGCTGCTTTACAAAGACCTTCCCCTGCTCTCATCCCCCAGCTCAGCCCAAGACCCTCTCATCCCAGGACCTCTGTGCTCCGTCCTGAGCCCCAGGGGTGAAGGAAGAGGAGGGACATGGAGCCTGGTAAGGACTCACCTGCCTGCACACAGGTCCTCTGGTCCAGACTCAGCCCTGGAAGAGATTCCCTGTGAGAGATTTGCACTCGGGCGTCTCAGCTGGTTCCCTTCCCATCAGGGCCCCGTCCACTGCAGCTGCCTGAGCCTGGGGGAGTAGGATGGGCAGCCACCTCTCTTACTCCCCCTCCCTGTGACCACAACTGACCGAGGAAGAGAAGAGCAGAGAGGATGGATGTCATGGCGTCTGCTCTGAGGGCTCCTGCTCTGCAGATGGAGGAGGCCTGGGCCTGAAGGACAGAGACACACAGGGGATGTGGTGAGTCAGGAGCTGCTGCCGCCTTCTGGGTTTACACAGCTGTGGATCCATAGCCATGGGAGGGCCCCACCCTGGGCCTGGTTCTGCATCTCCCCAGGATGAGGCTCACAGGGAGTCAAGGCTTCAGAGGCTGGTCAGCAGTGTCTGAGGTCTCACCTGATCCTCAGGGTCTCATGTGTCGGCTGGTCTGACTCCTGCTCAGAGAGGGCGGGATGCAGGATCTGGTTCTGACTTGGCCCCTGGGAGTCTGTCTCTGAACAGCCCAATGGGACACCCAACCACGGCTCTTGAGGGAGCTCATTTATGAAAGAACTAGAGGCCAAGTGCATGAAATACACTCATGGGGGGAGGGGGGGTCCCTTAGCCCGGCCTGCACCGTCTCCAATCTGGGACTTTTCCAGGCATGTCCGACTGCCGGTTTAGGCCCGATCCCACCTAAACCAGCAGTCAGACATCCCTCTCACAATCCAGGACTGCTGGCTCCTAACTGCACACCTGACTGCCTGCCTGATCACCCCTAACCACCTCTGCCTGCCAGCCTAATCACCCCTAACTGCCCTCCCCTGCTGGCCTTGTCGCCCCTAACCGCCTCTGCTTCAGCCCCTGCCAATATGGTTTTGTCTGGAAGGGCTTCCAGTCTAATTAGCATATTACCCTTTTATCAGTATAGATCTTCTGAGCAGATTCCCAGTGGCCTCAGCATTTCCACGACTTTCCCTGATTCAAGGGTCCTGGTAGGTTCACATTCGTGCCAATGCTGCATGTTTCCTGCCTTTTTAATTTTCATTATTCAGTGTAGGTAGTGGTACCACCCTGTGGTTTGATGTACATTTATTTCTTCAATGATTTATTTCTCCATTGATTTGTAAAGAGAGTGAAACCGAGAGAGACAGAGAGGAAAGAGAGGGAAACATTGGTGTCCGAGAGACATCAATTGGTTGCATCGGACATGAGGGTTGAGGAGCAAATCTGCAACCATTTCCCCCTATATTTGTGTTCTTGTGTCCTCTTGAAGAAAAAATTCTCTCTCACAGGTTAATAAGATAATTTGGTAAAAAGAAATAGTAATTGATTGACTTTTCATGTTTTGGTCTGTCGCCCATCTGGCATTGCTTATTGCAAATGCTGTGAGGCAGGTAAGATGTTCACCATGTCCTAGAGACTCACCCACTGGCCCAGCGCCATGGGATGGAAAGACCATGACCTCCCCACTGAAGGGTCCAGGTGACTCCACACGAGGGGTCTGACCTGGAGTCTTCCTTCTTCTCCTTTGGATGAGGCGTCTCTTCTTTACAATTGCTCAAACCTCCACTGTCTCCATCTGCATTGAATGGCTGGTTTCATTTCCTCCATATCTCAGTCGAGAAGAATTCTCACCATCTTTGTGGGGAAGGCATTGGTATTGCTAAGACATCAAGGGAAAAAGTAGCCTGCTCAAGTGTCCTTCAACCATTCAGGATGTGGTAGCACCACTATTGATATTTAATGTGTGTCTGTGTGTGTTGCTGCCTTGGAACAGGACTCCCATGAATGTTGTTCTTGTCTGAGTCCTGATGAGTCTCCACAGTTTGAAGAAGAGAGTGACATCTTGCATCAAAGGTGCTCTGAAGAGGCAGAAATGATTCAGATGATTGGCCACCAGGACATGGAGAGATCCCGCTTCTCACAGAGACAGAAAGTCAGGTGGAACCTGTGTGAGACATAGGACCTGCGTCCCAGGGCCAGGAGGAGGCATTGAGCTTCCTGTGGGAGCAGATGCATCTTGCACAGCCCCCAAGCTTCTCCCTCCCCCACCCCTGGGCTCACTGTCCTGAGGGCTCCTTGGTGTCCACAGTCAACAAGGCAGGGAGGGAGGTCACCCCCCAAGGCAGCTGTCATGTCCACCAATTTCCTGGGCTCTGAGCTCCACACCCTCACTCCCTTCTCCAGTTCACCCTCCACATCTGCCTTAACCCATTCCCTTTCAGAAGCTGTTTATGCGTAAAACCTTCCATGCTCCTCACTGTCTTCAAGGTGAATCCACACTCTTCCTTCTGGACTCAAGGCTGATCATGATCATCCAGATGTGACCCTTCCACCTCAGCTCTCATCTCTGCTTTCCTCAGACAGATGGGCACAGTGGTCCATGAACACACACGTATCCACACACTCATACACACATGCACATTCATACACACACTCACACATACGATCACACACACAAGCGCACATAGATTTTTATTTCATAGGTTTGATGTGTAATAGTTACATTATCATTTAATCTAAAACATTCGCTTCTGTTTTGATTCACACATTGATTATTGCAAAGTCTGTTGCTTTATTTCCAAAATGCAGGGAATACATTTTGGAAATAAATGTATGTTGTTTTAGTCTAGGAGGTTTGGAGAGGACGCATCTCTGTTTTGATGGGCTCACCGGGCCCGTGAGGGGGCACGAGGTGGTCCTAACCTAGGTTGTGTTTCAGGGAGGGGAGGAGGTTCATGGAATGAGTTTGGTTGGAGGAGGCATTGGCCTCACTGGGACTGGAGAGTGTAACTCAACCTGATCATCAGCAGCATGGACTGCCAGGTGGAGACCCCTGGATGTGGCTGGAGTCAAGGGGGACCTGTGGACAGACTTTGTGCAAGGGATGTTCAGTGACAGGGACGTTTGGGGGCATGAGAATGAAACACCTGAGCCAACAGTGAGGGTCTGAAGGAGGCCAGAAGGAGGGTGATGGGGTCACACCAACGAGCTGTCCTGGGTCTTCACCTGAGCTTGTCTGTGGGGAGAACTGGGTCACAGAAAGGAGAACCCGGAGCCAGAACAGTAGGATTGGTTCAGTGTGTGAGGGGAGAGAGGAGAGAATGGAGGGTTCATCCTCTCTCCGCCTTGGCTGCCTGCAGGAGCCAATGGGGCTGTGCCAAGGTTGCTGACCCCAAGAGAAGAAGGAGGCCTTGGGGGATGTTACAAAACTGTCAACTCACCCACGAAGGCAACCAGCACAGCTTTTGGGCCTGGGTGTGTGCTGCTGCTTCTCTCTATCACTTCCCCTCTCTGATTCCTTGTCTCTGTGAGCAGAGCTCCTGCTCTCCATCCCTCTCCATCTAACCTTCAGAGTTCTTTCTGCCTCCTCACCACCTCTTGTCCCCCAGACTGTACCTCTTTGTCTAATTCTGTTTATTCCATCTCCATGCTTTGGGTAGAAGAGCGTGTTGGAGACAATTCCCAGGTTGTAATCTCAAGACCTGGGGACACATTTATTGAACTTCTATTTTGAGCCAGTCCCTTCTCCTCTCCTTCTTTGCTTGTTAGGCAACATTGTGAAACCTCACCTCTGAGTTTGTTATGAGGATCGGCAGTGCCAGAGACATGAAGGGCCTCAATCTGGTGTCATTTTCTTTCTTTTTTTATAAATATATATTATATTGATTTCAGAGAGGAAGGGAGAGGGAGAGATAGTAACATCAATGATGAGAAAGAATCATTGATCGGGTGCCTCCTGCAAGCCCCACACTGGGGATGGAGCCCACATTCCAGGCATGTGCCCTGACCAGGAATCAAACCATGACCTTCTGGTTCATAGGTCGATGCTCAACCACTGAGCCATGTGGGCCGGAAATCTGGTGTCACTTTCTGACCTGTTGAAGGCATGCGTATGAGAGATGTGTGGTGGGAGGGGCTATTTGGAAGCCACACGTGTATCCCCAAAGCCTACAAGGTAAATCAGAAGCTGTAGCGCATCGTTGGTTGAATGGCAGATGAGCGCAGACAAAAGGATATAGGGATGGTGGACCTCAGCCTGGATCCTAGACTCAGCCCAAGTCAAGAGTGAAGGTGGAAATTTCATCAGTGGGTTGGTCCTAAGCACTAAAGCACTTAGGGCACCTCTGACCTGGTGGGAGTCCTGGTTCCAATAAAGTTCCACAGACACAAGTGGGGCAACCTCCAAGGTATGAGGGAGCTGAAGGGAACCACGCGTGTTTCACTTGCATTTATTTGTATTGATGCAACATTCACATAACATACAATTAAGTCTTTTAAAATATAAAATTCACTAGAATGTAATAAATACGCAATGTCTCAATGACAACGTCTATCTAGTTTCAAGAAGTATTTATAACCAACCCCCCAAAAAAACACCCAACAGTCCATCTCCCATCTGTCCTCCTGGTCAACCCCAGACAAACCAATCTGATTTCTGTTTCTATGGGTTTCCTTCTCCTGAACATTTCGCATAAATGGAATCACACAACCCCTGATCTTATGTGTCCGCTTTCTGTCACTGAGCTGCATTATTTTGATGTTTGCCCACAATGTACCAGGTACCCGTCCTTTGTTCTTTATGGTTTAAAAAATCCCAAGGTTGTGAAGATACCTCACTTTGTTGGGATGGATGGGATGGATGTGGCCCTGGATGAAAGGGTGTATAGATGTGAATCCAAACCAGCCATGTGGGATGGACCCTCATGTCACAGGGTGAGAACAGAAGGGCACTGGAGGAGAGTGAGCAAGGACAGGAGGCAGGGAGAGCACCCAAGGTGGATGGAGGGGGCGTCCTTTACAGGGGCATGGCCTACGTTCTCCTGCACCTAAACCTCACCTACCATGTCTTCTCCCCTGGACTTTCTCAGCAGACAGTTTCTCCAATTATGGTCCATATTCTCTTTCAGCACCTCCTGGGGTCATCAGATGGGCTCCAAGGCTCCCCCACTCTGAACGGTGCATGTCCCCTCTGTGTTCACATCCTGGCTGCACCATGGGTCCTTCTGGTGTCGTTTCGAGCCTGAAATAGCAGCACCCCAAGGACCACGAGGATCAAGCCAGCCACGCCCATCCGGATGAGATTTTGCACTGTGCAGTCTTCGGGGAGGGAAGTAGGAATTGTGGACAAAGTGTTCACAGACGTCAGAGCAGACCAGAGAAATCCCAGGACCCTGGCTG